ACCTGTACGTTGTTGTTAGATGTGTATTGTGGTGTAATGGTTTTAAAATATCCCTGTTTACCATGTTTGGTTTTTGTAAAGGAGCCTTAATTTACGTCGATGAAGGTTAGACATCCAGGTAATACGATACGCCAAAAAACAGTTACTCAAGCAACTGGATATGATTTTGAAAACGTCAGACGTTTCAGCTAGTATCCACTAGCTTTCGTCAGTGACTGAGAGACCAGAGGGGAAAGCAGGTTTATAAGCACAACCTGTTGATTGATATGCAAATAAAGTGAAGACAAATTTTCGGAAGTCGAAAAAGGAACAAAAGTCAGACAAGTCAAGACAAGATGATGCAAATTAGTCTGAAAGCTCCTGTTATACAGAACAGGAGATTAAGTGTTGTCTGTCCTTGGGGCTGGGAGTGCCAAATTCCAAGTGCCGGAAAGATCGACCCGTAGCCCCCCTTCCCTGCTGAGGGTGGGGTTGTACATTCTTTCATATATTGCCTCTTTAACACCCCGTTCCCACCGGCGTGTTTCGCGGTCTAAGATATCCGTGGACTCGAGTTTGAAAGAGTGACCCTGGTTGTGTTGTAGGTGGTGGAAAATAGCTGAGGAGTAGCCGTTGGCACTAGGTCGGCAATGTTCTTTGTATCTTACTTTGAGCGGTCGACTTGTCTCTCCGATGTAGGTGTTGTTACAATTGGGATCCTCACATTTGAGTCTTTAAATAACATTCGCCTTGGTACCTTTGTGAGGTCGGTCCTTAGGGTGTACCAGTCTTTGTCGGAGGGTTGAGTGAGGTTTGAAGTTAGTGGCTATGTTGAAGTTTTGGAAGATCCGTCGGAGTTTCTCAGATACTCCTTGGACATACAGTTTGTTTCAGATGAACCTGTGCTGAGAGACTCGCCAAAGCACACTGGAAATTTGGGAGGTGCATAAAATACATACAGATCGGAACCTCCTGATGACCAGTTCGCAAAAAAAACACACACAAACACACACTCACACAAAGCCCAAGCACCATTTACAACTAATAAAGGCAACAAAAATATCAAAACGGCGGGGGGGGTAAAGGGGTATAGAAGGCCATGATGCTACTTTCCATTACAAAAGGTATATTTGAGGCGTGGCCGGGTGTGTCGGCTCGGCTCGAGCATGCGCATTTGGTTTCACCAAGTGGGGGAGATAATTACGATAATTGCCGCTAAATTATGCATACGTCATTCGTGGAACAAAGGCAAACACCTGAAGTTTCCACACGTGTACACAGGTATCCCGACGATGTGCACGCAAATTTCCACCATAGGACACGAAAGGGAAATTTGAGCGGTCCGTTTCCCACGTTTTCCACAAGTTTCCCACAGCGGACACGCCACGTGTGCACCTTGGAAATCAGTGGGAACTCGCGGAAACTTCGGATTTCCTAGCGAGTATCCACAAATATCCACGAGGGAAATCTCGGTTTTCGTCCGGTGATCCTAAATTGGACTCTAGTACATGGAATTTCCTTATTTAAAGACTACTTTTAATGGAAACTTCTGGTGGAGGTTTTGATGCAAAAAAAAAACATGTTCTAAGCCAACATTACACTCTCTGCGATCGTTATCATCGTCCTCAGTTACAAAACCTTCAAAGTTGATGCAACTTCACCCGAAGATGTGATCTTGGACACAGTTAGCTTTTCTTACAAAAATTTGTTTCGTGCTATGGTTGTCTCATACTGCGTCTTAGTGTAGTCCATCACTCGTTCGTCGACCCGGAAGTCTGCTACCCTCCCAAGCTTCTGTAGACAACTACTTGTCATTCTGTATCTTGCCAGCATTTTAATAATCAATTCCTATGCACCAGAACCCGACCCATGCCCTGAGCAAGCTTTACACGGAGCTCCTGTTGCCTCCCAGTCTCAATCATCTTGGATGTGTGGAACCTGCGACCGGACAGTGGGTTGTGATGACAGAGGACTGGCTTGTCACACCTGTGGACAGTGGTTTCATGCCCACTGCCATGGATACAGAATGTTTGAGTCTAGCAGTAGAATACGCTATAAATGGAAACAAAAGTCAAGCGGGTGGGCTAAGCTTTAAATGCCTATATAGACTCGACACACCGGTATAGTAAGTGTTAACATGTTGGGTGGACACCCGGCGATTACGTCTGCTAGACTCATTTCTTCAGGTGTATGATGACATGCAGACAGGCTTACTCAGTTGTTACTAGGATTTTTGAAGGGAAAATTTGACTTTAAAAAGCGTCTATGGTAAGTATTGGCATGCATATATCCATTTCAGTTGGTTTTACTTTAAATATCGTGCAACATTGGTTCTATAGCAGTCGTTCTATACATTGGGCAAAAAAAATTAGGGAGATAACACTAGTTGCTGTTAAGGATACAAAAATTTATATTGATTTTAATAAGTAATATCCATGCATTTAGAATTATGACAATAAATGCATCGGCGTCTCGATAACATTTTATTAAAAAAGCTAGATAAGAAGGTTTTAAGAGCAATTACCATATAGGCAACTAATTTATTTAGCAATATATAACAAAATAAAGACCATGTTAATACTTGTGAATTTTGAGCGAACGGAAAAAAAACATTTTTCTCGCCACCCCCACATTTCTGTATTGAAGCATCCAAATGACCTCAGATGACTTCAAATGAAAGCTTGCTCTATTCTTTTGGCCCAAAATAACCAAAAATGGAATACCAGTTCTGCCCCAAAGTTCCGGTGAACTCATATGAACTCTTAACCCTATCTAGACCGGGGGGGGGGGCTAAAAGTGCCCGCGGCAACTTTAGCGTCTGAACGGCTAGAGCTAGAACCGCCAAACTTGGTGACTTTTTCTAAAATATTGTTGGCAACAAATCTGTATCAGTGGAATAAGATTATGATTTTTCTTGTTGACATGGCAACGGGTTTCTGACAGGCATTTTTTGCCAAATTTAATAATTTCCATTTAAACAACAGGATGTTATGGGTTTTATGTCACATTTTATGTTACACATTGTTTCTAATATTAAGAGTCATTGCACGAGAAAACCAGGAAAAACCAGGCAGAGGTCGGAAGATGGGGGTCGGCCAAATCGGCTCATACTTTGTATGTGAGATATGTATGAGGAACTATTAACAGCCATATAGTTTAAACCCTCCAGCTATTTTTCGTTATAGAGTTCTGGGACCCCCCTCCGAGAGCCTCCAAAATCAGGTAATTTATGGCTGAAAATTACTGAACTTGCGATGGCTGCACTGATAATTCTGATAAAGATATGGATAAAACGTTCATATTACCACAAAGCATAGCTTTTCTAGTTTGACAGACCCAAAGTTCAAGAAGACACCTTGAAGTTATGAGGGTGTGACAGGGGGTTACCTGAACCAAATGAATGAAAGTAGAATTTTCATCTCTATGAATTTTAGTCATCTTTAAGTCCCATTATCTCATATGGGCAGTGGCTTTGGTGAATGGTTTTACTGTGGTTGGAGAAAGGAACATCTACTGATTCAAAAACAAACGTCGTTGGGTTGGGCCATACATAACGCGAGCCGTGACTGAGGGGTCTTTATGGGGGATTTTCGGGTTTTGGACTATACTAAATCGGGCAATGACTTCTCACCACTGGGTACGTCAGGGCCAATGTGGGCATGTCGATGTGTGATAATCATTAGACAACTATCGAAGAAGCTTTAATGAATTAGGAATGTTGATTTGGGCTCTATATGGGGGATATGGGGATACCTGTAAATGGGACTAGGCTGATTTTACACATTTTATTGTTGTTCTCTTTCTGTAGATCGCAAATAAGTTCCTTACTAAAATATTGTGTACATCAGATTTGTGGTAGATATCAAAAGGATTTATATGGGGGTTATGAGGACTCCAGAAATGGAGATTCCTTTAAATACAGGTGCCAAAAATAAGCAGACCTCTGAGCTAAGTTGTACATATTGACACTTACCAGCAGAAGAGATCTGGATACATATGAGCAGGACCATAGCAAAAACAATGTCTGAATGCTATCAGTAGGGTTAGTACAGCATGCTGCTATTACCAACCTGCGATGTGCCAATGGACTGTTGCGTAGCATGCACAATATATCTGATCATACATTGATTTAGCGGTATCTCATTTTTTTCAATTAATGTACAAAATAATGGCAACCATTTTTGCCTTCGTCGAGCGAGTGTAGAAGTTTCGGCAGGCGAGTGGATTGTCAGCAAAACATGTGAAGGACGTTAAATGATAGACATGAAGTAGGTCAGGGTGTAATGTAAGCCGTGCCTCACTCCCCCTGTCTGGGGCTGGGTGTTGTTTTTGGCTGCCGACCCTAGGGTCACCCTAAAGATAAGGATCAGACTGGCTTTCTTGGCTTCCATGAGGTTCCTTAAGGGGGTTTTAAGCAAAGTCAAAATTGTTAAAACCAGTTCTAAAGGGTGTTAAACAACAAAAGCTGTATTTGGCTTAACTTGCGTTAAGGTGTTATATGCAGGTTTGAGTTATATGTATGTCACTGGTTGAAATTGCTATGCCCGGCCAATCAAATGTACATTTGACATGTAAATTCACCAATACCCCAAATATATCCTCCAACAAGCTTTGGGTCAAAGGAGTTTTGAGTTCGGCAATTTATTGAGGTAAGATTTTTACATTTTATTCTCATCTTTGTTTTAACCTTTATCTTACTTAAATTCTCATGTGATGTCATAATGTGATCTATAGCTTAGAAATGTATGAAGTGGTTTTACGGAATCCTGCATTATATGCGAAGTATGTGCACAGTTATTTAGTGTGGCACTATACAAACTTTCTTTCTTTTGCCGTCAATGCCCTGTTGAAAATTTACATAGTAGTTCATATTTTTAAATTTGATTCTAAGAAAATATGGTTTTGTCTTCTTGTAGGGCCGGGTAAAAATGAGTTGCTCCTTTGGAAGCCCGGAGTCAGGGTGTGGGTCCTCACATTACGTCCCCACAATCACATCAGTCATTCCCTTGTCTGCCTAGTTAGACTAGGCCTCAGTCAAAGCGGCCTTAGTCGGGCAGATCTCACAGAGCAGGACCTGATTCTAAATAGATCGGGACGATTCGGGTTGTCTGCGGACGACAGGAGCAGTTTGACAGTCTGTCCAAACCATCGGTATGCCCTGACAACGCAATGGATTGGAGGAAGAAGGACCACGTGCACCCATCCAGATCACAAAGGCAAGAGAACTCCGCTGAAACACCCAAGACGCGTATCACTTTCTTTGTCCCATCACATATACACAACGTACAGAAGAGTGGTACCTGTTGGATCTGCAATATGTAATCCTTGCAGAAAACAAGCATCAAAGGATACAGAAAGTGGTGACATGGAAGAACAAGAACCAGACCAGAAAGTGGCGACGTGGAAGAACAAGAACCAGGACCAAGTCAGGCTTCTGAAAGTATCATGGGGCCCTTAGCACAGCCTGTACCATCGACCTCTGCACCATCATTACAGACAACGTCTGAAGTCAGTCCCCAAGAGGAGGGAGAAAGTGAATCATCATCATCCATCTCTGAGGTTCCTGCAGCTAAGGCCACCTTTGAAAGCCAGAGTAGCAGTACTACAAGTGAGGGGGAGGCAGACACAAGTATCTGGGTCGATGAACAGCACCAGCAGGAAGTGAACAGAGAATCACTTAACACAGCTATCGACCGGATAACAGAAGGGAGGGTGAGTCCCATAAGATCGAGTCTAAACACACCGTGGGAAGAGGTAACAGAAAGACAAAAGAACTACTATCTCAAGAAAGCCAGAGAGGCAGTAAAAACCACGATGGCAGTCATTGCGCCAGGTCAGGAACAGGATTTGTGGCGTAGTCTAGTACAGGCACCACCATTTTACCGTGAAGAACAACCGCCTGCGAAGAAGAAGATGTGGGATCAACAAACAGTACAAACGTTAGTAAAGGCGGACCAGGGAGCAGACACATGGCAGACAAGGCAGCAAATGCTATCCTTGTTTGCAGATGACTACACAAAAGATGAACTTCAGCAACTCATCCCCGGACTGTCTAAGTGGAGGATTGACCAAGCCAGGGTGCACGACGCAGAGTCAGGCCCAGGAGAACCTGTACAACAACAACCCATCTACCGCACAAGACTCAACCCAGTAAAGACAGACCACTTTCTCGCTTTTTCTCACACAACCACACCTGCTGTAAGACGTCGCATATGGAACCAAAACTATGAAGCTGGACTGAGGAGAAACAATAACAATACCTGCCGCAATCCGCACACTCCTCCCATCAAGAATCATCACCCAATACCAACAGTACTGCGCTGGCGTCAACTTCCAACCCCTCCCTGACAGAACCCTCTTCAAGATCATACATGTAGAGGTATGTGCTGCAAGTCGACAAAAGTCACTGCAAGGTGTTGATTATATATCTACCGAGGGCACTGAGGCATTTGATACACTGTGTACTACTGTCGATGCCCTTGTTCAGAGTGGCGCATCAGGAGCCTGGGGAAAAACTACCACGCACAAGCTTAAAGAGGGAAAGCGGTACCTCAAGACAGACTGTAAGACACATGTAGACCTAGAAGATAGATGTGGTGACCACTGCATTGCATTTGCACTCAGTGAAAAGGGTAAAAACACCTTGGCTGTGAAGTGCAACCATCGCCATGAGATTGCTTGCGATCGACGTGCTGATATTCTTGGGTTTCAGTCACGTGACCCGACCTTAGCGACGGGTGTTATCCGCCATATTGGTGTACCTACAACCCCGCGTAGCCTACGCGCTATGTACATGGTTCATTGTTTTGTAGCTGGTTGCGGGTCAAAAAAAGTGGTAACACAGTGTATCTTTTCAATGTGTGCCAAGGTGATTACAAATCAAGGAAAGGACCAAGAAAAACTGACCGAAAAACATCGCAGATTGTGGATTTTTGCGATCAGCCGCGGGGATACGGCCACAGAAATATCCCGAGATTGTGGCGAGTTACTATCGCCAAAGACTCTGGGCAAGCTTCACCCGCCTGGGTCTGACACAATGTTGCCTGGGTCCCTACTAAAAAAAAACCTTGGAAGAAAGAAGTACAGAGATTGGGACGAAAGCAAAGAACAGAAGGAGGGGCGAGGGCCGAAAGGGCGAGAGAACGCAACAAGCGGGCCGCGGAACAGTCGGGTATGGCGGCTTGACCGGGCGGGTCTTCTGACGCCAAAAGCCGCCCGACGCCACACAATGCTGCTGGATATCGCGTACGTGATTTTCCCTACACCGAGGTCAGAAATGTTCCTGTACATGCAGAAATGGCACCCAGGAATTTCCATTAAACATCGACAAAACAATAGTTTACACGGTGCAAGGGAATTTATTTTGATACACGTGGCAGTCTGACTCAATTTGAGCCTAAGTGCTAAAACTCCGAGTTCACCCTGACAGCCCGACAAAATTACCGATCTTAGCACTGAAATTGCGTTAAGATTCTGCTTATCATGATACCCTAATATTGTAATGTCAATGTTCACAAGCTAATTCATGCATAGGTTGTGAGAGGTTACCCAAAAACTTTTTTTTCACGGCAAAACTACAACTACGGGTACGTAAACAAAATTATGCCCGGAGGCTCCCCTCCCAACGCCGATGATTTACTCCCGCAAACTCGAGGCGGCCAACAAAATTTCTGTCGACAGGGATGACAAGCCGTCATGTGAAATTCTCATTCTAATGGGGTTCCAACAGAGACATGAGTACTTTTTGGTGCTTGAAAAAATATTCATGAACTCCAGTTTGTCAGCGGCGAAACCGAAGGGGCTAGATGAAAGTGCACAACAAACAAAGCCGCCGGCGGGCATGAATCAAACTGGCATTTTGCATTATTGCACACAGAACCCATAATTTTGAAACAGCAACCGATAGTAAAACAAGGATTTGCATTACCAAGAAAAGCTGAGACTTAGGCTTACCATAATTTGATTGGGGATAACCCGTCCGCTCCACTCGAAATTGTTGTTTACCATTCCGGTACGCGAGCGAGTCACAAGTTGTCGCGAGAAGGAATCAGACACACGGGTGACCCGCGCACAGAGAACTGTCCGCTGTCCAAAACACACTTCCCAGAACCTCTCTCTCTCTCTTAATTCATTTATTGAGAAAAAAATAGACTAGAGTGACCAACATACGGATCCTGTCCACTGTAGGACTGTGAAGGAGATACTAGTAACGTTAGTCTTTGAAGTTCGTTCACACATACGCAAGTTTTGTCGTCCTATATCCTTTGTCATCGTATCCTTTGACTTCCTATCCTCTCAAAAATGTACAATTTCATTGAAAATCTTGTCATCTGTCAACCATCAAAGACTGCAGAATTATCGTGTGGCTGTTAATTACTTGTATGGCTTCGGTGCCAACGTCTTGACACTGCATAGCACTACACCGAGGTACACCAACATGGCGGCCGCCTGTATTACGCAAGCCCCGTGACGTCACGTGAAAGCCGAGAATAGACAACAGTCTGTCAGAGGCGCAAAAGAATCGACTGCTTTTTAGTTTTGAGCAATCGTCTACAGCTATTCAAAGCTGGAAGGCTTTTTATTTATCTGCAGCTATTAACAGAAAGCAATTAAATGTGTAAAATTAGTCTAGTTCCATTTACTGGTATCCCCATATCCCCCATATAGAGCCCAAATCAACATCCCCAATTCATTCATCAGCTTCTTCAATAATTGTCTAATGATTGTCACACATCGACATGCCCACATTGTCCCTAACGTACCCAGTAGTGAGAAGTCATTGCCCGATTAAGTATAGTCCAAAACCCGAAAATCCCCCATAAAGACCCCCCAGTCACGGCTCGCGTTATGTATGGCCCAACCCAACGACGTTTGTTTTTGAATCAGTAGATGTTCCTCTCTCAAACCACAGTAAAACCATTCACCAAAGCCACTGCCCATATGAGATAATGTGCCTTAAAAATGACTAAAATGCATAGAGATGAAAATTCTGCTTGAATTGGTTCCGGTAAACTCCTGTCACACCCTCTTAACTTAAAGGTGTCCTCTTGAACTTTGGGTCTGTCAATCTAGAAAAGCTATGCTATGTGGTAATGTGAACGTTTTATCCATATCTTTATCAGAATCATCAGTGCAGCCATCGCAAGTTCAGTAATTTTCAGCCATTAATTACCTGATTTCGGAGGCTCTCGGAGGGGGGTCCCAGATCTCCATAACGAAAAATACCTGGATGGTTTTAAATATATGGCTGTTCATAGTTCCCCATACCTATCTCACATGCAAAGTATGAGCCGATTTGGCCGACCCCCATCTTCCGACCTCTGCCTGGTTTTCTCGTGCAATGACTCTTAAATAACATCACATATAATTATGGGTTCACCACACCACGAAGTGGTGTGGTGAAACCATATTGCTTTTTCTGATGTTTCTTCTCCTTCTCCTTCTTCTTCTTCTTCTTCTCCTGCCATTTTTTTAAATGGATTCAGCTTCTTCATTTTAGGGCCCAAGGTCCTGAAACTTGGTATGGAGGTACAGTGGGCAAATACCCCTAGGCGTTTTTTAAATTATTATGATACAGGCTTTTAGAATGGTTTTATTTGAATTTTTTGGCTGTGTTATAGCAAATGTATTACTGTCTTAGTGTGCCTTGTTTACCACGTTTGGACATGAGTCATCACAATGGAATGCAGGGCATCAACCAATAGGCATGCAGCTTTCCTCTATACTTCTTGCTGATTGGCTGTTGGGATTTAACTTGATTAACACCTGCACAGAAGCATTTCCATACTGACAGTATGTCTGTATTCAAGTGTTTTGGTAGGTATTTCAAGCTTTCCTGCTCCAGCATTGGAATGCCGGGCATGGACGTTTTTTTTTATTTTGAAAATCAACAGTTTGCATTATGCAATTAAAAATCCTAACCAATAAAGTAGGGAATAGCTATCCAACTGTTGTTTTAGTTGTATTTTACTTCATATTATAGTTATATCAATTTAAATCATTGTTTTCCCTTGTGTTTCTCATTCTTTCCCTGCCATGTCGTAAAATGTGGTGAACCCATCGCTGTATTTGCTCCAAAGCAAATATTGGCCTTTCTAGTTATAAGTAAATTTTATCATTAAAAATGCATAATTTATGCTAATTTGATGACGTCATTGGCCAAAATCCAAGATGGCGGACCATATCATTAGATCAGGTAAATACAAGCAGAGTGGAAGGAACATGACCTCATGGTGGTCAAAATGCAACAATACCATGAGACACGTATGGTGGGTAACATGATGGGCCAATTCATGGCCATGATGGGTAAGGTTATGGGTCAACAGGGAAGCAGAAAGTACCCCCCCCCTTAATTCTGGTGGTCAGGCTTGGAGCTCATCCATGCCACACAGCACTGGCCCCTCATGTAGTCAGTACACAAACACTTATGGTGGACAGCCAGCTGCCTCCCCCATGTCTTACCATCCCGGCCCGTACCCCTCCACTGCTGGAGGTCAGTCTTGGGGCTTGTCCATGTCACACAGTGGTGGCCCCTCAGGTAGTCAAACAAACAGACATATATACATTGCACACAGCTTTAGGAAAACTGAGGTGTATTCCCCATGCATGTTTTCTCCCAGTGATAAGACGAAATGGAGTTAAGAGTTTTCAGCTCATGTTGTTATATAATGAGGTTGCTGCTTAGGATTCTCCGTTGGGAATGTTTAACTGAAACTGTTAAATACCTCTGTTGCATGTGGAATCTTCTTTTGTTGATACATGAAAGTGTACAAAGTTGAAAACAATATTTTGGTGTTTAAAATAACAGGAAAGTGCAGTTTATGTATTTGTGTGTACACCAATGCAGTAAAAGTTGTATGTTTGTATTGCAACTACAACTACTAGTACACATATCTCATTCTATCAAAACATGTTTTATGTTTCAAACATAAACATACTATTTTGTCATAAAAGTTTACAGAACTATATTTGTCTTGAAGGCAGGGAAGAAATGAAAAACTATATGAAATAAAAAAGTTACACATGTACTTAAATATATTTGTCATCAAACAGGCAAACAACTTCTACTATCACAGGCGCTAGGCCACCGAGTTTTTGTTGAAAAGTATGTTGTTCTGTAAACCATTAAAAACTATTTTACAACTTGATTGTTTTGTGTATGTTATAACATACACTATGTACTCACTCAGTCCGTTGCAATCACAATACACAAGGACTGATGAACATAATCCGTTGAAAGATTCCCGAGAATCATATACTCTGACAAACACCGTGAGCTCGGTCCGTTGAAAGATTCCCGAGAATCATACACTCAACACACACTGTGAACTCGGTCTACAACCTGGCGA